CTGAGCAGAGAATTAATTCCTGGCGGCGGGTTCGTTAACTCATGCATACCGTAGGGATAGACGAGACTGTGCTTCGAGAGCCAGTCCGCGACTCTATTCCCTTCTCAGTAAGTATGCGTTAGGCGAACCAGCCAGTCGCGGTTAAGCTTCCTGCGAATGGTGGAGAGGAGAGTAGCATACGGGTGAATCGGGTCATGTCTAGCCTCAATAAGCTGTATCGCCAGTTGCGAATCTGTCTGGATGTGAATAGCTCTTCCTCCGTGCTTCCAAGCGATGTCAAGGCCGAAGGATATTCCCCAAAGCTCCGAGAGAACCGCCGTGGCAGTGCCAAGGTTGGCGACAAAGCCTGCAACCCAGTGCCCCATCTGATCGCGTAACACACCCCCAGCCCCTGCTGGCCCAGGATTGCCGTTGGAGGCTCCGTCAGTGTTCAACATGATCCATCCCTCTGGCGGTGGCCTCCACCCCACTTCTTCCTCCACTCTGTCAGCTGGTCGATTTCCTTTGCAGGGAAGGAGAGAAGGGGCGAGCCAAGCATTGTACCACATCTTTGTCTTGGCCAAAATCGAGTGTTCCAGTGAGGGGGGGGGGGGTGAGAGCTGCTCCAGTACCCTGCATACAGAGAACACAACGGTTTTTCCAAATGAGCCAAAGCGCCGTACTGAAAAAAGCAGGCCAAGGCATCCCTGTCGCCACCGTATCCGTCCTCGAGAGATTGTTGCGCAGCCAATCTCCCTGATCGAGCGTGAAGAAGTCATGTTGTTGCAAGCCCGCGGTCTGCCGAAGCCAAAAGAAAGTAGCTGGGGGGCAGTCTCTGAGAGTGTGCAAGATTGTCTCTGGTGACCCCGGGCACTTCGGACAACAAGGGTCCGCCGCTACTTTCTTGTGAAAACGGAGACTGTTAGTGGCAATTTTCCCGGTGCACGTTTGCCACATGAAAACACGAATCCTCTCCGGGACTGGAAGGCGCCAGATCGTCCTCCACAGCTTCTCATCCGAATCTTGCGGCTGTGGAATGATGAGGTTGAAGGCCGTCTTGGTTGAGAATTTCCCGTCCGGGGAAGCAGTCTAGAAAAGCGTGTCCTCTTCATTGGAGAGTGTGTCGACCGCCACGCTGAGAATCTTCTGACAGACCTCAACAGGCAAGAAGGCCTCGAACATGTCGGTGCGCCACGTTCCCTCGACAGACACGTAATCAGCCACCGTCTTTTGCTCCATGTCCTCGGCGATTTGCATAGTGGCCACCTCCTTCAGGCTCCCCTGCAAAACCCAAGAATCCAACCAAAACTTAGGGGTCGTTTGGAAGTTGCGATTGTTAGTGTTGTATTTGTTAAATACATGCATTGTCCACAATACAACGTTTGGAAGTGTCAAGTTGCAAAACAATGCATGTATTGTTTTGTGTGGGTCCCACCAACAATCAACAAAAATGAGGGATTGTACAATCTCAACTAAAAGTTGAGATTGTTGTGATTGTTGGTTTAATAATTGAGCACCTTTACTTTTTCCAATTATGTCCATAGTTCTTTCTGTTTTATATTAAAAGTGGAGGACAAATATGGCATTTCCTTATAAAGTAACTTTATAACAATCAATTCATAAATTATAATCTCAACAACCAAACAATATAATTTCAAAATGCATCTATTGTATCAATGCATGCATTTATATCATAGTGATTCATAACAATACAACGATTTAACATACGCAACTTCCAAACGACCCCTTAGTGCGCTTACCATTCTTAATATTCCAGGCACACCCCTGCTTTAAGACATCAACAACTTTAGCAAAGCTTTTCCAGGTAAAGGAACTTCCCTGAGAGCTGCAAAGGATATCCAGGTTCTCCCTTTGATGGCCATACTTGTCGTGCATGATCTGAGACCAGAGAGTTTCCTTCTCTTTGATGAGCCGCCATCCCCCTTTAGCAAGCATGGCCAGGTTGGCCTGTCTGGTAGGCCGGATGCCCACTCCTCCATGCTTCTTCGGCACCGCCATTTTATCCCAAGCCACCAGGTGCATCTTGTTCTTGTTCTCCTCCTCCGCCCAAACAAAATCCCTGTTCATCTTATCTATGCTGTGACACACTCCACTCGGTATCAGCTCAGAATTCATGTAGTAAACAGGAATAGAAGCAGAAACCGAATTAACCACAGTGATTCTCGCGACAAAAGATATCCGCCTAGCTTTCCAGGGCGCCATCTTCTTCTGAATGCGAAGGAGAAGGGGTTGATATCTCTCCCTAGTCACTCGCCCATGAATCGCCGGGATGCCCAAATACTTGCCAAGCGCCATCTTCAGAGGGATGTCTGCTAACTGACTCATACGGTTAGCTCTTTCGCGGCTGATGTTTGGGGAGACATAGAGGATGGACTTGTGATAGTTCACACGCTGCCCGGAGCTGTAGCAGAAGTCGTCCAGAATCCGCTTAATGACCCTGATCTGGTGAGTATCCGCTTGTGCAAACAACAGGAGATCATCTGCAAAAAAAAGGTGAGTGAGAGGCGGGCCATTCTTGGACAGCCTAAGCGCTTTCCACTGTCCATTAAAGACAGCTTCATCAATCAAATGAGAGAGACGTTCCATGCAGAGAACAAAGAGGTAAGGGGATAAGGGATCTCCCTGGTGAACTCCTCGAGTCGGGGTGAGAGGCTGAGAGAGTTGTCCATTCCAAAGTATCTGCATCCTGTTTTGAGTGACACAGTGCATGATACAACTGATCCACGTGCTTGGAAGGCCGACCTCCTTCAGAGTATCCCGGAGAAAGTCCCACCTTAACCTGTCATAAGCCTTCTCCAGATCGATCTTGAGGATGATACCTCCCCTCTTCCCTTTCTTTTTGTGAAGCGAATGGAGAAACTCCTGGACTACGATAATGTTATCCGTCGTCTGGCGGCCCGGGATAAAGCTGCTCTGGCGAGGGGAGATCAAACTCCTCATAATCGGCTTGAGTCTGCTAGTCATAGCCTTGGTGATTGCCTTCAGGCTGACGTTGTTGAGAGAGATCGGTCTTAACTGGCTTACCACCTCCGGTCTTTCCACCTTGGGTATAAGTACAAGAGTCGACTCTGTGACCGCCTCGGGAAGAGTACCCGTCTCAAAGAACTTGATAGCCATGTCAATGAGGTTCCGTCCAACAGTCCTCCACATTTGCTGATAAAAACAAGCTTGAAAGCCGTCCGGACCCGGGGCCTGAAAAGGCTTCATATCAAAGATGGCTCTATGAATATCCATGCCGGTGAAGGGCCTCAAGAGCTCTAGCAACTCGGTCTGGCTGAGACGGGGGAAAGCTCCTTTGGGCATCTTGTCTTCATAGTTGTCCTCCTCCTGCGTACAAAGATCAGCAAAAAAATCAAACACAAGAGAGGCCAGGGCTTGAGGCTCAGTCACCCAATTGCCGTGAGCATCCTGAAGAGCCTCAATCTTATTATGACGCCTCCTGATGTTCGCTTGCTGATGGAAATAGCCCGTATTCCGCTCCCCAAACTGGACCCACTTCTCCCTGGAAAGCTGAAACCAGAGGAGTTCTTCTTGTTCCATGACTTGATCAAGCTCGCCTTCCAACTTGGAGTGCAGCTTAGCTAGCCCTGGAGAAAAACACATAGCTAAACGAGTCTCGATTCCTTTGAGCCTTGCCAGCAGCCGCCTTTTCCGTTGCTGTACGTTGCCAAAGACATTCTTATTCCAATCCTGGAGCTTTCCTGCCAAAAGAGGTAAAGCAGTCTGTAAGGGTGTATCAGGCTCCCAAGAATTAGCAACAAAGTCAAATAAATCCGAGTGAGTCAGCCAAGCTGCCTCAAACTTGAAAGGACGAGACAAAGTCGAAGTACTTCCCTGATTTGAGACAGTGGTTAAAATGGGATTGTGATCCGACTGAAGCCTCGGGAGGTGAATGACCGACGTGTTGGGGAAGCAGGAGTTCCACCGAATATTGCAGAGGCTTCTATCCAGTCTGCTGGCTTTATAAGTTATGTCCTCCTCTCCCCTAGTCCAGGTAAAGGCAGGTCCAGAGAAACCCAAGTCAATGAGCTCAGCAGTGTTGATCCGGTCATTAAACATCCTGCATCTGCGAGCTGTGCTTGCATTGGAGGGGCCGGCTTTCTCGTCTAGGGTACGAATGGCATTAAAATCCCCCGTGAGGATCCAGGGAATGTTAATCCATTTGCTCTGATTGATCAGGTTCTCCCAAAGACTCTGCTGCTGGCTATACTGGGGAGACGCGTATACGGCAGTCAATATCCATGATGGGCCAGTACCTCGAGAGACTTGGAGCGAGATGTGCTGATTGCAGGCGGAGAGCAGCTGAACCGAGAAGGCCCCTGCATCCCAGAAGACCCAAATCCCCCCTCTCCGTCCCTCCGCATCCACTCTGATCGAGTTAGGATATCCAAGCCTATCGCACACGGAATCCGCAGCTCTTCCGCTAATCTGGGGCTCAAGAAGGAATACAAAATCTGGCCGTTGAACCTGGATAGTCAACTTCAAAGCTCGACGAAAAGAGTTGTTACCTGCTCCACCAACATTCCAAGAGAAGATTTTAAAGTCAAAATTAAAATTGTGAGACATCGATAAAGACAAAAAACAGGAAGAAAAGGAAGAGAAGGGAGGAAGGCTCTATTGGTTGTTATCCGCCGAAGCCGCCGTCGCATCCTGGCGGGTTGGGGAAGGAAGCTCGCTGGCTGACACCGCTGGGTTCCCAGCACCAAAATCCCTGCTTTTCTGGTTTTTTGCTTCCGTCCACGCCGATATCTCTTGCAGAGTCAGAGTAGCCATTCTGCTCTTGGATTTTGGCTTCCTGTCTTTAATTGGTGACCAAACTTGAAGAGGCTTCCTTGACTTGAGCTTTGATGGGGAAGGTTTAGGCTGCCTGTTCTTGTCCATTTTATTCTTCTTTGTCCGCGACCTGGCCGAAGGAGAAAGCGCTTCCGCTTCGTTCTTGGAGGAGGAATTTCTCGGATTCACCTCAATGATTTGCAGGGAGGTGCCATTTGGGCCCTGTCTCACGTGGACCAAGGGGGGAGGGAGGAGCCTGGACACGAGTCCAGCTTCTGAGCAGGGGAGCCCGGGTCCTTTTTGGGGCTTTCGGGATTGAGCTCGTCCCGGCCCAATAAACCCATGTCAAGATCCGAAGAGAAGCCTGGAGTGTTTCTAGGTGCTGCTGAAGGCCCAGCCCCGGGTCTGATTTCAACAGCGGGCCCAGGACCAAGGAGACCCTTCTCCAACACGGGCTCGGAGCCCATTTTCTCCTTCCCCTTACGAGACTCACCACCTGACTTGTTTCCGCTCCTTCCTTTCTTTTCTTGGCCTCCGCTCCTGTCGCTCCTGGAGATAATGACGGCATCCTTATTAGGTAAGTTGTCTCCGCCCTTGATCAAGGCCACTTCCTTCCCTGTTTTTCCCATATGTCCGTTGGACGAAATCTCCGTCTTTCCTTTCACGGTGGAGTCGCGGGAATTCCACCTACTTTTACGCGTAACCAGCATCCAAGGGCCGAAGCCGGGCTGTTCCTCCGCCGCCGCCGCCGGGGACGTTTGCAGGCTCTGCACCGCCTTCACCGGGGACGTTGTTGGTTGAAGGAGAGGGCAAGTAGCGGAAACATGCCCAATCTTGCCACATTCAAAACATGCCGCCGGTATGTTTTCGTATTCCACCGCCTGCCACTCGTCGTCGAGCCAAATTCTTGGGACCAGAGGTTTGCTCAGGTCCACCTCCACCGCCAATCTTGCAAATTTGGCCCTCTGCTGGGTTAGGGTATGGTAATCTAGTTTAATCGTGCGCCCGATTAGGTTCCCCAGCATATGCAGAACTTCTTTGTGATAGAAGTGAACTTTGAGTGCCGGTAGCTGCACCCACACGATCATCTTCTTCATTTGGGGTCCGAAACCTTGAAATTGGGCGTCCACTGCTGAACTACTAGATAATGATCATAGATGACCCAGGGACCGTCCGTTAACGCGCGGAAGTAATCCTGCTCGTTAGAAAGCTTCACCAGAAAACAATCATGATCGAGGTCTATGGCTTCCAACGATCCCACTGGTCTCCAGAGCGACCGGAGGCGGGAGCACAGGGCAGCGAATCCAATTTTGCATCCGAGGAGTCTCACTACAAGAGTGCGTTGCCAAGGCTCGCATATCTTGTTCTTGAAAGACGTCGAGACTCTCAGGGCTGGTTCCCCGTTCCGTTCTCCCGGGATGAGATCGTGCTCTCCGACAGGGGTCCAGAGGCTGGCGATTGGGCTCTGTGTAGTCACGTTTTTATGACCCACCACCGCACTAGCATACGAGATCATCGGTTGCGACACCACCGGTGGAGGGGAAGCCTCAACCGCCATGTCCGTCGACGGGGCGATCGCCTCGTTACCTGTCTGATCCGTCGAAGAGCAAAGAAGCGCGTTTGTAGAGTCCGGAGGCCGCCCCGACGGGACCAGGGCCTGCGCCGGAAGAAAACTATCAGCTACAGAGGTCGAGAGCATTTTCTTTTCCAACTTGGATGTATATTGATGATTTCGTTCTCGATCGTGTGTGTCTATTGATTGTTCTGGTTCGGACCGCACATTTCCCACCTTACTAAAAAGTTAGAACACATGGAGCCAAATGGTGGCAAAGCGGAGAGCAGACCACGATTGAGGTGGGTCCACCCAATAATGGGCTTTTATCAAGTAGGCCCAGTTACATTGCACGTAGTAGATAATTAGGGGCCTAATAAAAAAAATGGTGGCATGCAATGATGTTAAATCTTGAGTTGGACGTTTCATGCAATGTCAGTTAGTCTGCAACGAGGTTTTCCTGCCATTTTACATCATAGTTTTTCAAATGGAATATCTAGATATATTACTTCGAATCAATATAGTCAAAAGCGAGTTTCTACGTAGAAATGTTTTGGTGATTTAGAAGCGTAAAATCGTAAGTTTTTAAGTTCTAAAGCGGAGTTTTTAACTATATAAGTTATAAAACTGAGATTTTGTGTAGAAGCGTTTTAGTGACCTAGAAACGTAAAATCGTAAATTTTTAATTTTTAAAGCGCGATTTTGACTACATTGCTTCGAATAATAATTTATAATAATATAAACACATAGATTATTTATTATTCTTAATACAACTTTGACCCTCCTCTCTAGCACCAGCGGTGCAAATCAAAAGCAAAGCAAAACGCTACTATGTATGTAGTTACTAGTTACAAACAACCAATTATTCGGAAATAAAAACCCAACCAACCATCAACCAACCCAGACAAACCGATTAAATGTGAAACAGCGAGCATCGAACCCCTTCCAACAACAACGAATTAGTGAACCCCATCCTCGACGAATGCAGGTCGAAGTGCACCAAATTATCCTGCATCTGATGTGCTCCAAGGACAATAGACGACGTCGTATCAGAACCACCGTCCACAAACCCCAAGCAAGCAACGTCGTCGTTCACGTCCACCATCGAGTTCTCCCCAAACAAATCCCACTTCACCTCCCTGCTCTCAAACACCAGCGAAATCTTCGGCACTTCCAATCCCATCCTCCCGATCGACAGATCCTTCTTCTCGTAACAGCTCCCGAACGGCGCCACCGCCGCCGCCTTCTTTACCTTCTTCATCGTTTCACTGCTCTCGAAAGCCCTCACCAGCGATCTGTAGATCGAGCTGTCGAGAATCGTGTACGGATCGACCGTGCTGATCGCCGAGCCGCCGATCCCGGTCCGACGGAACTCCAGCAGAGACGAATTGATCGGAATCGGAGATTCCGACACGAGGATCGAGGTGATTCTGACGAAGTAGGCCGGGATCTCGGCTCCGGGGACGTTGGGGGAAGCGGTGCGCTCGTAATTCTTCACCAGCCTCGTGTACTTGAATCTCGTCGAGTAATCGACTCTGTTCGCGATGACGTAAGGGGCGGCGCCGAGGAACAGGACGCCGTCGGAATTCGAATCCGAAGGCAGGCAGAGGGCGAATTCGCGGCGGAGGGAGCCGCCGAAGGCGGTCGAGATCTGCGACGGGAGGCCAATTCGCTCGCCGGCGAGGCCGAGGGCGCCTACTACCCCGGCGGCGAGGTTATCGAGGCCGAAGACGGTTTCGCAAGCCAAGATGAAATTGGGGATGGAGATGCGGGGCCCGCCACGTGCGCCGCTCGTGGAGGTGGAGTGAAGCGACACCGTATCGAGGGCGACCTCCGAGGGGCCACCTGTCGTCCGGATCGGGTTTCGGGTCAGGACGGTGCAGGAGTTGTTGAAGCAACCCGGTTGCGGGGGGAGGAAGCAGGGGGACTTGCAGTCGGCTTTGGAGACGGAGCAGGCGGCGGAGCCGCAGCGGGCGAGGCGGTAGGTGGAGGAGGAATTGGAGAAGCCGCTGTAGCAATCGAGCCAGAGCTGTCGGCCGGCGATGTCGACGATGAAGTTACGGGAGACTTGGGGAGTGCCGATGTCGAGGCGGGTGAGGATTTGGTTGGTGGCGCGGTCTTTTGTGAGCGGGAGGATCAGGGATCTGGGTTTGGATTGAGCAATGGTGGAGATGGTGAGGGTGGAAAGGATGAGGGAGAGGAGGATTATGGAATGGGGAAGGGACGCCATTTTTGTGCTTATTGAAGGAGGAGTAGAGGTGTGTGAATTGAGAAGAAGATTGGATTGCTGGGGTTTTTATAGAGTGGTGCTCGGTGGTAAGGGAAGCTCTAGCTCTGAAGCTTGCTAGGCTAGCTAGCTCGCCGCCATGGGAGACTGACTGTGACTGTACTCTTCTGGATGCTGCGCTTAGCTAGCTAGCATAGCTGGAGGGCTACTTTTCAAACAAACAACTTGCCTTTGACCCAATGAAAGAAAAATCGTCTTGTCGGCGTTGATTTTTTTGTTTTTTGTTTTAAATAGTTTGGGGGTTGAATCGAATAATTATGTATTTGAATTTTAGAGCGGCTCAAGCCCAACAAGTACGTTTGCGGCCCAGGGCCCAGGGACTTGTCATCAAAATTCATTTTCAATTTTTCATGTTCATCATATCTAGTTTTCCCCCTTTTCTTTAAACTGTATCAGAAGTCAGAACTGGAAACTAATGATAGTTTTAACTTTTAAGGCAGATCCGAGGAGACAATGGCAATATTCTTCTAAAATTACTGCGCAATAACTGGAAATTACTAGGTGTAGTTTGCTTTTTAGCATTAAATTTATGTATTTGTGATTAATATTATGAATTATATGTGGATTGATGAAGTTGGTGTATTGCATATTACAATATTTGGTATTTATGAGTGTATTTTCAATAATGAGAAAGGAAACTCAAACGAAAATATCACTTGTGTTGCTTTTTGCAATGCAAAACATACTTTCTAAATGTGTAAACTGGGGAAAAAGATAATAATCTTAACTAAACAATTTCAAACTGTCTCAATTAAAAATTGAGATTTTACATTTATTGATTTGAGTAATTATTTTTGTCACATCAATGCATATATATTTTGCGTCACTAAAAAAAAAATGTGTGTATAATATTTGTCTTTACAGAGCTATGTGTTTGCTTTTCTGTCTCATACGTATCACAATCCTTGCAACTTATAATACTTGCCTTTAGAGCAAGCAATGTAGTCAAAAGCGAGTTTCTACGTAGAAACGTTTTGGTGATCTAGAAACGTAAAATCGTAAGTTTTTATGTTTTAAAGCTGCGTTTTAACTACGTAAGTTATAAAAATTGAGATTTTGTGTAGAAGCCTTTTGAAAACGTGATTTTGACTACATTGAGAGCAAGGATTAAAAACACTACTAAACCTACCGCTGGTTCAATAAAAAAATCTTCTATTGGAAATTAAACTAGTAGACAATATTTAGCAGTATGATACAGTTGAACTACAATTAAACTATATTTTCAATATAAAATACTTTGTTGTTGAATTTTCCTGTACAATCTTGGATACAACGGTACTTGAGGCTATTCGTTTCTATTTCTGAACCAATTTCTTCTTTGTTCTCTTTTCTTAAAATGTCCTCACGAGTGATCCGCCAAGACATATTTCTCGTTAGCTTTTAGACTAGCTCTTTGATTAATACAATTAAGTAACGTTTCTAATTTATGTGCTGTCTCCGAAGGGATAATGATGATGATGCGACACAAATTGACAACAAATTGACAAGGACATATGTGGTGGTGAGGATAACATGAGATTGCATAGATTAAATAAGGGGAGACATAGTTTATGGCCATGGATAAGCTAAGTGGAAAAACAAAGAATTGGCCTTTGAATTGACTCGGTATATGTATTTCTAAATTTTATATCTAATTTCTAGCACTCTAAAGGCTTATTGGAAGGATGTTATGGTTACCATTTCGTTTAGTACACAAGCTATGGTCACGATTAGTGGCTTAGCTATAGTTTGAGTTAAGGTGGGTCTAATCTGAAAAAAATTGTGACATAGATTTTTATTGATGAATTGATAACCAATCCAATTGCAAAATAATTAATTTTGCATACATGTTCATTTGGATTTGTCATCTAATACCTTGTAAATATGAAAATTGGTCAATTTACCCCATAACTCGAGCCAATAACTCGACACATTGCCATTCATATTCAGGAAACAACCACAAATTAATATCATAGTTTGCATTTGTTCCAACTTGAAAATTTAAAACAAAACATTCTCCCCCCCCTCAATTCTGAGTCATATCATACCCCTAAAATGAGCTTAACATAAAAATAAAAAAACACGAAACCATATTATGAAAAACCGAAACCGATGTTTGTTCTGTTCTCTCATGTTTCCATACATTTAAAAGAAATCCTCTGCGTCTAGGCTTTAGTTAGCAAGGTCACCTTCACCCCTCCAAAGGTGACATTACAAGCCTGAACCTTCCTTTCATCTTCTTCATCTCCTCACTCGAATATATCACTATCTTCTTCACCATCTTGCAGAACTCCCTGCAATTACAAAAATATGGTAATTGACCCCGTTAGACTCAAAAACATCACAAATCCACATACATATATAATACTTCAAACTAATCAATGGTGCACTGTCGATTTCATCACTATCTAGCTAGCTAAGAAGTTGCTAATGAATGATGGAATGACTACTTACGGCCATGGATCATCACCAACAAGCATCATGTCACCTTCATCGTCAATGAAGACAACAACCCATTTTTCAGCAGTAGAAAGCCGATCTCCTCTGATGCCGAACATCTCTTCCAGTTTGGTTATCAGATCCTCGTACCCATTTAAGGTAGTTAAGTCGACGGTTCGGCCGAAAGCAGTCCCCTGCATATGCACCTAATTCATGATCCATATACAGTAACATTAGTAAAATTTACCTTACAAAAAGATTGTGCACTTTTAAAGAGTAGAAAGAAAGAAAGCTGTAACTATACCACCAACCTTTGTACGGTTACACTGATTCTTGACAGTTGATTCATTACTAGCCATGATCATTAGCTGCTTTCCAGTAACAGAGCTGGTGTTAGCAGTAATGTCGCTAGCAAGCTCGATTCCGAAGATTCGACATCCCATAGGATGGTGATTGTCAGCTCTCTGCGAACCCATTTGCTCGTTCCAAATTCCTGATGATGGAGTAGCAGTGGATGAAGAAGCCTTGTTGCTGCTGTTGAAACCAGGTGTTGAATTAGGAAGGAAACCTTCCAAATTATTATGGCCATTATTATGGTTGTTGTTTTGGCCTTCAAACCCACATCCCAGAGGTAATAAGGTTGATTCCTCCCGGAGAGATTGAATCGACGACCTAGGACGCCGGATGGAGTTACTAGCTGCATGAATTTGTAGAAATTGAAGTATGCATTATTTCTATCAATCGGTTCAAAACGACTATGTGCAACCATAAAAACGACTCTACACTTGCTCATACATATATCATGCTCCGCAATAAAAATTCACGCGATAAAATTTTCAATTGCGTGAATCGGCAAATGAAACAATATAACTTGAGATCGGATTAAGAAAGTGTGTGTTCAACCACATGTAGCACACCAGGTTGAAACTACTGAGTCAAACTCCCCATTAAAATACTACGTTCCTTAGTTATAAGTTTATGAGAGTAAATTGAAACTCTATGACCAATTAGGTCTCATATTCGAAATTAGGAATCTATTCAAAAACAAAATATTTATTTGAATAGTTGGAAGACTCACAAAAATTTTCAGTCCGTAAGAATTAAAAAAAAGAAAAAATGAATCGTCGAAAAACACACGATTGAAATACACGTGATCAGCAGACCTCTAGTTGAATAGGCAAAAAAACTTGCAAAGATTGCCTCTGTATAAGAATTCGAAAATGGAAAACTAATCACCATTACAAACGTGAGTTGAATAAAACCGAGAATTACTAAAAGGTTCCAATATATATGATTAAAATAAACGAAAAAAAGAAACGAGACAAAATATGTGTCTTGCAAACAAAAGAAAATATAAAATATGTAAATATGTGAGCTTAGTGTAATGTAACTAAAGTTTATGAAAATTAAAACTACTCCTCTTAATTAATGAATAGTAAATTTGGAATCAAAACTTTATATCTAAAAACAAAATATACCTGCAGAAGCTAGAACATCTATGTCAAGCCTCGACCTTTTCTTCCTAACTATCGTTTGAAAAAGAACACTACTTTGCAGAGATGGATCAGCTGCTAAAGGCTCAATCTCCCATGGCGAGACTCTGCTGTCAGCTGGCTTCAGAATTGTTCCTTCCGAATGATCCCATCGCACCTATAACAAACGCCAAATATATTCTCGAGAAAAGAATCAGCAGATAACAATAACCAAAACAACAAACAACTGCATTAATCACTTGAAAGTGTCATATATATATATATATATATATACAGACCTTGAGCGACCGCCATTGCGAGCCTGGCCAGTATTGTGAATAATCTCCAATACCAACAATGGTGCCCGTGAGTCCATCATCACCAGCACTCTTGAACCGCATGCCGATATGATAAGCACGGCTAGTGGCTTTCAGATACTCGTTTATCCCAACGAGGAATGGAGTCGTTCTGTAGATACACATCCAAGGGGGAAAAAATTTCTCAAGAACGCGTAACCCGTAGGTAGAGATTGTCATTGTGGTTTCTTATTGTTATTGTCCTAATCTAATTGAGTTTTTTCAATTAATTATTTGGTTACTCCGTTTTTTTCCAAATATGTAGCTTTTACCATGGAGAAATCTTGATAAAAATGGTTAAAACAACTCCAAATGTTCAAGGGCATGAAGTTAATTCCTCAAATGCACCTACATTTAACTCTAACTCGACTACACAAGTACTGTCACAACAATCTCTCTCGGTAAACCATTTTAAGTTTAGCTTCAGATCTAGAAAAAGTGAAATTAACACAATTTTTTTTTAAAATCGGCACCCCCCGGAAGCAAAATTTCTGGCTACGCCACTGGCTGGATATAAGAATGCATCGAACATACCTAGGCTTATAATGGACATAAAAGACGGTTTCCGGTTTAACGGAACGGTTAAGAACTCCCAAGTAAATGATCTGGCTCGATATAACAATCGATGCCTGGTGCTGCTGCCTGGGACGACCACGACGAACCCCAACTCGCAGCTCGCCGTTGTACCTCAGGAACACGATTTCGTCGCCGGCTACTAGCTGCTTCTTGTTGACGAAGTCACTCCATCCTGTGGAGAGCATATGCCTTGGAGGTTGGCCTTCACACAACACAATCATTCGATGATTTTTCGTTTCGTCAATGGCTAGCTAATCAATGAACATCGATCGAGGCGATAATAAGAATGCAAGATGAAGAAAGTCTGATCCTCACCCCTGTATATGTGCCTGAAACGCCATAGATGACCCTGGAGATCTTTGGCGGCGAATTCCTGAGTTGGGGTCTTCTGGATCATATCCTGATATTATCATTATTATCGAGGCGAAATTCAGACAAATATGGTAGGTTCAGGTTTGCAAAAATGGAGTGTGATTGAATGAAAGAATTGATAGTAATTTTCACCAGTGGAGGTAAGCATTCAATGGCGAGCTTCTTCGGAATGGAGAACCCGCCATGGGCGCTAGCATCAGAGGTTGATAAAATCTTGTTGTACGACTGAACCGGTTTGGGCGGTGGAGACTCGGGCCGGTCAGGTCGAGGGTTTCTGGGTGTTTGCTGGTCGATTTGGAATAAAAAACGTTTAGAATTATTGGTTAGTATTTGAAGAAAAAAATATTCGAAACTGTGGAATTGAAGACGATGAGAGACAGAAAATCTCACATCAGCTTCCGGATGAAGAGTGATCCCGACATAAAGTTCGTCTGTGCGACGCTCGACCTGTGAAAATTTGTTTCATTTGTGATGATTGGAAGTTAAGAGAAACGGAATTTTTTTTTATTTTTTTTGTTTATATATATTTAAGTGGCGGAGACAGAAATTTGAGAGAACGATCGAGAAAAATAGAGATTTACCAATCTTTCAACATTGGTAACTCGACACAAGATTTTCGAAGGGATGTTAATTTCGGGGAGTTTCTCGTTCAATTGTTGGCTCATCCAAGCTTCCAACTGTGCCTGATGATAGTATAAAAAAATGATGAAGAGACTAATAAAATGAAAATAAAAAAAGAGGGCAATGATCAATATATTTGAAGGGAAAGAAAATGACTCACTTGTTCCATGTGACCCTGGGGGAAGTAGTACAAATATTGTCCTTCTTTTGGTATGTCAGTCCAATCCCAAGCACACGCCCTCCATAACTCATAATCAGACTCTAGTCGCAATGCAAAAACATAGTCAAAATAATCCAAAGTAAATAAATGGTCGGATTGGAGACGGATAATGAAAATAATTCATCTTATTTTAACTAACATGAGTATTATTTATATAAATCCATGATTATAAGTTCCCTTTTCTCATATCAATTAATCAAGTGTTACCAATCCAAAGTATATGATATTCAAACACGCGGAAAAAGGTACAACGTAAATTATAAATACTAAGAAAATTCATGGAAAACAATCATTCATGAATATTCTATATGTACTACGAGTATCGAATATGCTGAGAGAAAAAAAGATGAACTATTAATATCGAATATATTGAGAGAAAAATGACGACTTATTAAAAAAAACACATAAAATGAGAATGACCACGGTTAGACAACGAGAAAATATGGTGAAGTATGGTTTAATTTAAGGCATCAAAGCGATGGTTCCATACGCACCCAACCGTAGGATAATCTCGTAGAGATCGTATATATCTGTGTACGTATTTTATCCATGTCTAAAATAACTCATCTGGTTCAAATTTGACAGTTTCTAATCAACTGATATTCGAACAATCGTCCATCCTACGATTGGAGAGATTTAGCCACTCTCTTTTGACTAACAATTACAGAGAAAGATAAAAAGAGAAGAAAATTGAAAACTAAATTGTACATCCATCAACAACCAACTAACCCATTGAAAATTGAGATTCACAACCTTCTTTTCTCACAGTCATGAATTCGTAGGTACTTGTTGGGCCAAAGAAGCTGGTCCAATCCATTTGAGTACCATCGCCCTTTGGATGAGCCATGAAAAATGGAAGAACAAGAAAAGAGAGTGAAGAAGGAACAAAGAGGTGAATTGGTGGGGGGGAAGAGAGGCTGTGAGAGTGATGAAGTAAAGGATGAGACTAGCCCCTTAAATAATGAGACCAACAAGAGTGAAAAGGTATAAAATTAATTAAAAGTGCAAAAGGACATGAAGCATTTTCATAAGAAGGTAATTGAATGATTTAGATATGACTTAATAACTGGAGAGAGGTGTCAGTGTGTTCTTTTAGTGATATCACAAAAGAACTTGTTCCGGTTTTCGGTTTCATTCATTCTGTTGTTTCAACAAGGACAGAAAGGTCTCATGCATGCGAATTTAATTTCTTTGCATATATTGGTTGTTCCAGCTCATGCAAGCAGATTCTGGTTAGACTGTTAATTTAATGCATTAGTCAGATGTTTGACTTGTTAAAAAAGAAATTTTTTTATAGCGATGTAGTAAGATGTTATAGACTTCAAAAGCGTTACAGTAAATTATACAATTGACCATTATGACGTCATTTTTGGATTTAGTTTTGAGACTGTTGATGATTATAGTTGAATGCAAACATGAATTGTTCATTATATTGCCCTAATTTGCTTTGTTCTTTGGTTTTTGTTGTTAATATTGTATCCGAGAGAAGACAATGAATCATAGAAAAACTTGTTGCATTTTTTCGGTTTTGATGTATCCTTCTGTTTGGGCATGAGAGAAAAGTAGGTTTCATCCTTTTGGTTCATTTTCATATATCTTAATTGTCCAAGCTCATGCAAGTAGATTATTTGGCTTGTAAAAAAGATAACTTTTTTTTAACCATTATAGTAAAATGTTAGACTTAAAAATGGGAGCGTATCCAGTCAATAACTATGCATAATCCAATCAAAATACGCCACATTAGCGTCCCTTCTCTCTTATGAAAAATCTTTAATTTTCCCTCTTAATTTTTAACGGACGATTTCTTACTCGTTTTAAGTAGATTTTTTTGCACAGTTAGATCAGATTAATTATGCTTTTCAAAACGATATCCACTTTGACATATTTTTGGAACAAAAAAAATTGAGTCATTTTTTACCAGTCTATACCATATGGTATTGACTGGTATTGAAATAAGAGCATGCCTATGGTATGAAAATGGTACCATGGTGGTATGAACAAACCAAGACTGTATGATGGTTGAATACATGATAGTAGAAGTATATTAACTGTCATTTACGACTTTTAACATTGTGTACTACAAGATACCACCATGTACCAGGGTGGTATTGTGTGGTATTCTTTGGTCCTGTATTTTTTGCACCCAAAAATTTGTAGATCCAATAGATTATGATGAACTCGTTCCTTCTGTGAAATTTTTTTCAAAAACGTATTAAAGATACCATATGGTATGGTTGGTACCGAGAGGGCTGAAAATATTTTTCTCAAAAAATATTGAAAATGGATCTAATTTTGTAGAGCACAACGAACTCGTTCCATCTGCAAAAAATTGAAAACTCAGTTAAAACGAAGAAGATATGAATCGATTAAGAAACAAGGGGAAAATAAAAAGATTTTTAACTCTCCATCCTTATATCTCAATTTTCTGAATAAAAGATCAAGATTTAGTTATCGATATGTGCACACTGTAACTTGAGGTCTTCAAAATCACACTAAATTATCAAATAGTTGACCGTTAAGCCATAAATTTTTAGATTTCTTTCTAACATTGGTAATGATTATGGTTGAATGCAGACATAAACAATTTATTAACTTGCCGTAATTTGCTTCACTCTCCGGTTTTTGTTTCTAGCGTATTTTCTCTTTACTTGTCCAATAAGAGTTTGTTGCACTTTTTACTTTTTCAATCATCTCTTTTGTTTGAACAGGGATAGAAAAGTCTCCTTTTCTGTTTGTCTTGCTCTTCCTTGGTTGCTTAAATCAACACATACAAACAAATCCCTCAAACAAATCAACATAATGAGTAGGACGGTTGCCTTGTAAAAATGGAATACCCTAGATGGAGTAATTGTGTGATTCTGACTTTAAAATTGGTCTCGATTATGGAATTATTTTACCATTATGCCATCACTCCATATTTCTCCTTTGTTGTAGCATCGAGGGTGGTTGATTGAGGATTAGTCGTCAAAGAAAAGATAGTATAATTACATCCAGAGCATCGTTATGGTGCTAATGCTAATCAGAATCAATACATAAGAGCTATTAATGGGATCCAGTGACCTCAGAACTCCGTACTTCTTTAACTAAATCATAGAACTTTGGATGTCCATCCAAAACCTAATTTTTTTTTAAAGGCTTTGGAATTGGTTTTGCCGTTTTAGTATAACATTTGTATTCACCATTATAGGACAATGATTCGAAACCAGAGGTTCTAGCATTCTTCATTTCACTTTGTGTGAAATCATCTAACCAGCCAATGCTCACAAATAGTACTCTATCCAACCGTTTAGCTATGGGTGTACCTATTTGGTGATTTATTCATGTTTACCAAGGACTCAAAGTAACATGTTCTTCAACTTCCAGATCTACTAACCAATCCTTGAAGGCAACCATTTCATTTTTAAAATACAGGGTTAGTTTAAACTTCAACAGAATCTGATATCACATTTAAATCTCCAAGCATCATCCAAGGGAATCCGGTAACCTTTAGTCGTTTGGATGAGTTATTTTTATGAGTTATTTGGTACCAAATAAATCGTTTGTGTGCAAAAGGTTGTGATGAGTTATTTGTATCGAGTTATTCTGAAATAAATCAATAATGAGTTATTCTGAATACCACGGTCCACGTGGGGCAGTTATTCATAAATAACTCACAAATACCACATAATCATTTTGGGGTCGTTTGGATGGAGTATTGGTATGAGTTATTTGGGTTCAAATAACTCACAATGGGTTATTTGGACACAAATAACTCGTTTGCAGTGTTTTACTGAAATGAGTTATTTGGACAGTGAGTTATTTACAAATAACTTAAAATGAGCTATTTGAAATAACTCATATCCATGTGTTATTTTGAAATAACTCATTTTACCATTTCTTGCTAGCACTGCAAATGTATTGGCAATAAGAGTCCCACTTTGCTGTTTTGGATCAATTTTGGATACTATAGTCGCTAGTGAGATCAAGCTCCCA